GAGAGAGAGAGAGAGAGAGAGAGACTGCATAGCAAGTTAAGTAGTTGTTTCAGTCGGTCACTGCCACATAACAAACCACCTCAATGTTCTAGGGCTTGGTTATGGCTCAGCTAATCCAGTAAGGCTTGGCAGGGCTTGGATCCAGGCATTTGATTCAAGTCTGAGCCACATGCATCTCTTTCTGAGGCCAGTAGTTTCTCTAGGTGTGTTCCCATGGCAGAAACAAACAACAAACAACCCCTCAAGCTTCTGCTTGTGTCACAATGGCTAGCATTCTATCAGCCAAAGCAAGTTCCATGTCGAGGCCCAAAATTAAAGGTAGGTGGGTTACATTCTATCCACTAAGATGAAGGGAGGGAGTACTTGCTAGTCAGAGGTCTCAGCTGCCACAGTGATTAAACCAGGATTCAATCATGATTTGGTCATGACTTTCCCTCACATTCATCACCAAATCCTATAAGTGGGCAGTTGCCATGGCTAGAGATAGTCCATGCTTCCAGCCCTAACTCAAGGCATGCAGTCAGGGCTGAGCACGCTCTCCTCAGAGCTGAGCCCTTCAACTGGATTGTTCCTCCCACTGCAGCTGGGGGTCAGACAGCCCTCTAGGGTATGGTCCTGTCATTCTGTGCCCTCCCCGATCCGGCTTCAGCTCTTGGTTTTGGCACATGCTCCTACCTTCCTAGATACAGCCCAAGCTTTTTGCAGATTCTGTTACACCCACACCCACCCACACACAGCAGACTTTCCTGGTTTGCCACAAGAAGCTGTCATGTCTGGTTGTGCCAGATGTGCACAAAAGCTCCCAGTTAAAGAGCCTCAGGGGGATAAGATGCAGCCTATACAGTAACACCAAACTGTACATCCTAGCTTGAGACTACATCAGCCCAGAGGAGAGAGTACCTTCTCTTCACACAAGCATCACTGCCAGCCAAGCCAGGTCATCGCTACCGCTTTGTGGGCTGAGGTGACATTTGAAACGGCTCACAAAAATGCTTTGTAAGGTAGAGTTAGCCAAACCACACCAGGGTTTTGGACTCAGTTTCAAATTCTAGCTTGTATAAAAGCTTAGAGACCTAGAAAAAACAGCAGTCCTGGTCCGAGCTGCCTCAGTTTCCTTGAAAGTCATTCTAATCCTCACAAGGAGGCTGGGGTTGCACTGTGGGACCCTTGGCCTCCAGCAGAAGAAGGAGAAAGCAGATCCCCGGCCCCTCTGATTTTGAAGATAAGGCCAAGCAAAAGGCAGTGAAATTGTTTTCCTAACCTAAGAAATATGTTTGATTTACACCCACTCTTAAAGAACTCAGATTCAAGAGCGGGGTGGAGGTGGGGTTGAGTGTTTGGGGGCTGGGGCAGAGGGTAAAGTGATATTTGTTTCCAGGGAAGCCTAGGTGAGTCTGTGTCACCCTGCTGCTGCTAGAGCATTATGTATTCATTACCTGAGTTTTTCGGAGTCCGAATTCAAAGGTTTGATTTTCATCCTCTCTCACATACTCTCCCTCTCTTCTTCTCCTCTCTGCTATTTGTTACAGCTGCATTTTTCAAGCCACTGTCTGGAGGGTAAGTGGATTGACACAGCTCATAATGTGCAAATAAATGGGAACGAAGCTCGTCAGCTCAAGTGGAATGAATTACTGTCCCGGTGAAAGGCAGTGATGGGGAGCAGCTGCCCAGGGATTCAGGGAGGGCACGGGCAGGTACCACGCCAAGTGGCCGCAATAACACTTACTATGATTTATCAAAGAGCACTTGAAAGAGCCTGGGAGGTGTTAAATGGGCATGAAAAGAGGTTTCGAGGCACTTGGGCCCTGGCAGAGCAGAGTGATTAGCCGGTTCACACACCTGACCCTCTGTGCAACTTCCTTCCGGACGAGAGAAGGCGAAATCTTCAAAGGCACTGTGGAGAGAGGCCAAGTTGCAGCAAGTCCAGGGGAGGGGACTTGGAGTGAAGAAGCTTCTTAAGGCGAGGCAAGCAAGCAGCCAGCTTCAGGACCCAAGTGACGGGGACACAGGCAGAGGATATAGGAGTTTGGGAACATTTGAGCTGGGGACAGCCAAGGAGAGGGAGGCGACTTGATCACGCCTACACCACAAAGCGGCCGCCACATCAGAGCTCCAGGTTGCCCACTGGGACCACGTAGCATCCATTCAGAAAAGTCTCCACAAACCGAGTTTTCTCCCTCATTTGCTCTGCACAGAGCCTAGAATACTCCTGTTAGACATGACAAGTATAGAATTAGCAATGCCCAACTCAGCATGGTTTTTAAAATAAAAATTTCAGCTGCATGATAGCAACAAGCCAGGAATCACAGCACCCTGTGAAGCTGAGGCAAGAGGCTCATAAGTTCTAGTCAAGTCTGAACAACTTAGTGACAGCTTAGTGACTTAGCAAGACAAGATTCTATCTCAAAAAAAAAAAAATTTATGAAGTGCTGGGGATGTAGCTTAGTGCAGAGGCCTTGTTAACTTGTCTTAACCCCAGGGGCTGGAGGGAGATGGAATGGGGAGCTGGTAGCTAATCAGGACAGAGTGTCAGTTTTGCAGGTATTCTGTGGATGGGTGGTGTGGGGTGATTGTTCAACAGTGGTCTTAATGCAACCAAAACTGTGCACCTAAAATTGGTTAAGATGATACTCCTCAGTGTCACCTGTATTTAGCATTTTCTGAGGAAAAAAATAAACAAAAAGTTGATAACTGGAGGGAGAACTAAAGCCAAGAGAAAGACAAGTCACAGAGGTGAAAAAGGAGGCCATGACCTTCAGGGGTGGCTTGTGTACCTGCAAAGGGTTTGGATCTAGACTGGCTGCAGGCAATGGTCCAGTTCATCCTTGCTGTTCTGGGAGCTTCCAGGCCAGCTACTGAGTCCAGATGAATGAACTCGGAGTCACCAGACAACAAAACCCGACAAAACATAACCTTGAAGCCTCAAGAAAGGGATCGAAGAAGGGTAAGGAATTTTTCAGAGACAAAATGGCCTGTGGCTGAAATTTAGACTGGTGATGGCTAAAGGGGAGGCATTATTCAAATCGACATACTCATAACTCAGTAAGTTTCCAGAAACTTCCTAGGCACTCTGCTATCCACTGCAAGAGTCATATGGAAGGTTTATGGTCATTCACCTCTACTTTGGGGTGTAGAGGAGGGGAATGCACCTTCATCAGAGGTTGGTGTCGCTTCCCAATATGCCAAGATCGCCTCTAATATCTATCAACTGCTCACACTATTCACTTATTCACTTATCTATCCATTCATTTATTCACATATCATTCAAGTGTGACATAGAGGGTGAGAAAGAGCCCTTAACCACTATCAGATCTTGCCCTAGGTCTGCAAAGCCAAGCTGAAACAGCCCTATTCCTGCAGGAGGTAATGCTGCAGTGGGAGGTGTAGATATTGGTAAGGTGATCATAAGAAGAAATCTAAATTAACTGTGACAACGATTGTGCAGGAGAGTGCCATCTGTAGGGAGAACCCCCTAAGTGCAAGGCATGATCTGCTTAGCATACAGAAGAACGTTTGAGACAGTGGTGGGCAGGTTGAACAGTCCTCCAAGGAAACAATATTTTTAATAGATAGCAATGCCTCTACCAAAGGCTTTCCTTCTGGTGACACCAGACACCATGAAAGACCTTGGAGAGAGAGAGAGAGAGGTGCCATGCAAAGGGTCCACACAGGATTAGTAGCCTGGTGGAGGCCAGCAGGGGTGAGGAGCATAGGGTAGCCAGGAAACCCAGTCATCTTGACGGTGCCCTCTTTTCTCTACTATTTGACTTGATTGCCCTCCTTCACTCTAGGGATCAGGCATCAGCAGCTTACTCTGCACTTTCCCTGGGTTTTCAGTATTACTAGAACTGGCCAGGGATCTTTGATGGCTCTGGCCATCTTGCCCCCTGACAGTTACTAAAGGCTTCTGAAACCCAGAGTTCAGTATAACCCACCCAACAGCACAGCTGATCTGACCTTTTGCTTTGTCGAAATTGGCAGCCCCTGATCTGTGCTCCCTTTTTCTCCTTCACCACACCTGCCCCTGGGTCTCTCCATGCTCCCAGTACCTGTGCAGGCTGAGAAACTATCTCTTTGTCCAGGATTTGACATTAATTATATTCCATCAATTTAGAGCTGACACCTTCAAACATACTTTAACATAATTCAAATTGTCAAGATTATTGGCCAGGAACAATCCAGAATTCATCAGTATCATTAGAAGAAGATTTTCTTAGAAGAAAATCTCCACTATAACAATGCAGTATTCATTTAAAGAAACAGAGATGTCAAGAACTCTGAGTTCAGAAAGTTGGTCTCTGTATGTGAATGCAGAACACCTTTGCCAATTTATTTCATTTATATTTCTCTTTGTATGTATGCAAAACAGTGATCTATGATGAAAATCTGTTTACATAAGTGTAAAAGAGAGAGCTTTCATTAAGTATGGGATAAAAATTCTAAATGATTAAAGAAACATTGTTTATACTTCATTTGGTAATGATTTTTAATTTTCCCACTACATAAAATAATGATGCATTTACCATTGATGGAGTCAGTGAAATCCAATAAAATGTAGAAACAAATGTTAATGCTGTTTATCATCTCTTCCTCCCACCCCACCTGCCCACATAGACACAATAGCCTCTGCTCAGAGTCTAGCATCTGGCTAGAGTTTAATAAAAATTTCTAGAATTGGCTTGGATGAACAAGCAGATACCTCCAAGTGATAATCACACTATCCAGGCTTGGGAGGGGAAATGTGTTTTGGGTGCTCAGAAAGTAAATCATTGAGCCAATGCACAGGAGGAAGTCCAAGTCAATACAGAGATGATTTACTGAAATATTAATTACTTTGTTCTCCCTCTATCCCTTCAAGCAGGTAGGCGGGCTTTGCAATTCTTGGCCTCCGGAGTTTTAATGAGGCTGCAAACAGAAAGATGCTGAATTAAAGTCTCTCCCAGTCTGGTGTGGAGAAGGGAAAGTCATTGGACAGCTGGAATGTGAAGCATGAGGGTAGCTGGGGGTGTTCAGAGGAACTTTTGATGACAAGTGGTGAGCTAGTCTGAGGGGAAGAAGGGTTTTTCTCCACTGATAGGCAACCCCAGCAAGCCTGGATGCAAGGCCGGTCCCCATATTGGCAACTCTTAACCACTCATGGCTCTTTTGTTCTTGCATAGAAGGGGAGCCTAGGAGCCTGAAGTACTCTGCAGGCTGAGACAGAAGGAGCCTTTGAGCTGAGCAAAGGTCTGAATGCCAGGCTCTCAGGAAGTAGGTGGAGAACTCCATATACCTGTGATTGCAGATGCTCCCAACCATCTGTTATGGGCATTAGGTGTTTCCAAGTTAGAATTAAATAAGTGAAAAGACAAGGGAAGAATATACTATTTCTTGCACACTTGTGTTTCTAGACACTCAATGAAACGATTCCTGTAGCGTGGGCAGATAAGGAGCACCTCACATCCCCAGAGAGTACAGCAGCACTCACTTCAGCAGGCCTAAGACAGCAACTGTCTCCATCTCCCCAGACCCTGCCAGCATGGGGCCAGCACCTCCACAGGCTGGAAGCGGCTGTTCTCCAAGTGGCGATGAAGACAGCTTTAATGGGCTTACAGTCACGTGTCCCTCAAAGGCCAGCCCCCCTGGACGGCTGTTTGCAAACTCCTCTCCAAAGCTGCTTCCCTTGAAGAGAGTTGCTACACAATCATTACAAATTGATTGCAAAAGAGCTAACAATCATGATTAAATCATTAAATTCTTGTCTACGCTTCAGAGAGCGGTGAGAAAATTAACTTCCCACCAACCTAATTTTTTCCTGAACATGAAATAATGATTTTCTGCCCGTCTAATTACAAAGCCAACATCTGATCAAGCCAGCATCCAGAGGGGATTATCGCATGCACGAGTATTAGACCTCATTACCAGCTTGAGTGCAAAATTATTACATCTTGTAATTGGATGGTGAGATTTATATACAGATCGGCCCGGTTTCTGTAAGATTGTAATTACAAGCTTCGTTGGTTAGCTACTTATCACAGGCCCGGTTTCTGTAAGATTGTAATTACAAGCTTCGTTGGTTAGCTACTTATCACTCAGCACAGAAGAGAGGAAAATAAGCAACAGAAAAGGCATTTCATTAACCCATAACCCTATCAAGGGAAAGCCACTGTAACACCCATGTCTGCATTAGGGAGAACAGCTAAATTCACAGATGAAACAATTTATTATACTCTTTGCAAATGGGATTGCATTTTGTTTAACCCCTAATGAACTCTTTGGGTGAAGTGTCTGAACAAACCATTCATTTTATAGACAACTAGGTTCAATACAGTAATTATAAGGGGTAACTGACTGAGATAAATGCTCACCTGCTTAGAGGCAGTTGATTAGAAGCACAATTGCTGGGCGCTGGGCGCTGCCACAAAGGGGCCAGGGACTGGGACAGGCTTGGCTTTCCCGGGAACTACAGGAGGCAGTGGATTCCACCTGGCAAATCCACCCTGCTAGCTCAGAGGAACGTCAAGCTTGGCTGCAAAGGGTGAGGTTTAATAAAGCTGCAAGGGCGACGCAGCTTAACAATTTTAGGGGCACTGGTGTGGAATATGGAAATTTAAAAACAGCCTGATGAAGGCTCCTCACATGCTCCAGATGCACGATCTAAATTAAATGTTACCTTTTCACATGTTTATGGCACAACAATGGGCCTCACACAAAGTCAGTTCGGCGGGGTATGAAACTGAAGGAGGATTTCAGGCCTCCGCGGTGATTTTTCTGTCTGTTCCCCCACTGCACTTATTCTCTTCTAGGCCCCAGTAAAGTTTGCAGCCAGGTGCAGCCTGGCACTGCCCTGAATTCTGAGGTATTTTGTAACTCCTGAAAGGTAAAAACCCTTCAAATGTCAGTGTGCATGAATAAAGTTTTATTAGAACACAGCTACATTCATTGATTCGCCTTGTCTCTGGCTGGTTTGGACTACCGATGCAGTCAGGAAAAACCAAAGAATATTTCATCTGTAGCCTGTACAGAAAATGTTTTCTGACCCTGTTTCTTTTCCATTCAGTCCTTTACTAATCCATCTCTGCATGAACATGGATTGAGTGCTTACTACGTGTGAGGCCAGGGGCCAGGACACAATTCCTGCCCTCCAGGACGTGACAGCCTGCTGAGGAAATAGACCTGGACACCGGGGCAGGGCTTCTGAACAATGGAGCATCTGTTTCTGCTTTGCCTGGTAATAGTGTCCTGGATTTCCTCTGGGGATCAGGCCTCACTGTGCCCCACTCCATGTCACCTGGTCACCATGACTGGTTAAGGCTGGATGCATGTTCTTATGAGGGCCATAGGCTACAATCCAGAGCCCTGTATGGGGACAAAGAGATAATTCCTTCTTGACTTGGAGTCAGGCTTTGTTGACTTAGGAGCCACGAAAAGCATGTTGCTTCCTCCAGGCAGCCTTTGACAAAGCCTCCAGAGAGGAGAGTGGAGCTGGATGCTGGGGAGCCCAGGTCCTGATGTCCTTCTCTGAGCCTCTGAATCCCATTGTGCCCAAGTCAGTCAACTCCTGGTCTTTTCCATTTTATGAGGCAATAAATTAGCTGCTTTTGCGTGAACCAATCTACACTTACAAATATTGAAAAAGGAGGCTGAATGAAGTTCTGTGGTCAGCAGGCTCTAGAAGCACACAGGAGAGCTTGGTTCTGTACTTTTCAGAGCACTTCCTGAACAGGCCTTTGAGCCTGTGATCTGAAGGCTGGGTGGGTTTGGCTGAAGAACACAGCATCCTTCTAAACTGAAGGCAAGAGCAGGTGAGCACAGAGCCACATCAGGAAGAGTGTGAAGGGGCCTGGGAGAGACTGGAGGGAGGAGATTAGGAGCAAAGAAACCCATCTGGATGCCCCTCACTCATATTCTGAACCACAGGGAGAGCTTGTTCTTAGAGTCCTCATGCCCATGGACACGTGGGCCCACTGAGCCAGGAAGTCATATGGGCCAACACCCAGCTGCTTTAGTGGGCAGCCTTCGAATCTGCCTCCAGGTATTCACACCTCAGTGTGACCCCCACATACACCTTCCCTGTGGAGAGTGGGAGGAACTTTTGTCTTGCAAAGATGATGGGATGTCACTTCTGTAGTCAGGACACATAAGGTCACGACTTCAGTCTTGCCAGCCAACCCTTTCTCTCTCTCACCTATGCACACTCTGATGAAGCAAAATCTCATATCAGGGAGGCCCATGTGGCAGAAGATTGAAGGTGTCTCTGGCCAACAATTAGCTAGAAACAGACCTCTAGTCTCACAGCCTGCTGTGGTTTGAATGTGTCCCCAAAAGTCATGTGTTGGAAAGCTAATACCAAAACTGATAATGATCTCCTGGGGCCTTGCGAAGGTAAGGATTAGATGAAGTCAAGAGGATGGGCCGGAATGATGGTATTATAGCTTTAGACCAGGAGGGAAGTGACCCAAGCTAGCACACTTTCTGTCTCACCATGTGATGCTCAGCAAAGCCATGTGGTGATGCAGCAAGATAGCCCTCACCAGAAGAAACTATACAGATCCCCACACCATACTCTGGGATTGATTTATGAGCCAAACCACCAGGGCTAGGCATCCAGTTATAGCAACAGAAAACAGACTAAGTCCCAGTCCTCCACAAAATGAATTCTGCCAACAACCACATGAGCTTAGAAGTAGATCCTCCCTTGTCAAACACTCAGATGAAACTCCAGCCTGGCAACCAACTTGATTACAGACCTGTAAGGGATCTTGAAGCAAGAAACTCAGCTGAGTGGTGCCCATATTTATGACCCATAGAAACCATGAGAAATAAAACATGTGGGAAAATAAACACATGGTGTTTAGTGGTGCTAAGTTTGGCGTCACTTGTTATACAGCAATAGATAACTAATATACCCAAACCACCAAAATAATGGTTCTTGGAAGTCAATTTTCCTCTAGAATAGAGGTGGAGTGAAAGAGAGTGATCAGAAGGGAACATCATCAGGATGGAGGAGGAAGGTGAGAGTGAAGCTAGCATTCTCCTGGAGTTAGGTTTAATGTTATTACCCTTCAAATCTTTCCTTGCAGATACCATTCATGACAAAGGAGCATATTTAAAAATCTAAGCTTGTACTTGACAATGTTTTTTAGTCATCTATTTCAGAGAGAAAAGCAATTGACCACATACACATGTAACACAATCATATATATCTGTACAAATATATAATTGCTTTACTTTTATTATACTGGAACCTAATACCCAATGTGAATATGATAGTTTTAAGAAGTGGAAAGTGATTAGATTATGAGGCTTCTCCATCAGGAACATGAGTAGTGTCTTCATTAGAGTGGCTCAAGGAAATTCTGTTGCCTCTTCTAATATGTGAGAACACATAGAAGTTATCGAGTCTGCTGGCATTTCCTCTTGATTGTGGCCTTTCTAGCTTCCAGAAGAGTAAGAAAATCAATTGTATTTACTAACAGTTGCTTATAAACTGCCCAGTTTAAATTATTTTGCTATAGTAGGCTGAATGCACTAAGGCAATTTCTAATCCCCAGAGTCTCTAGATCAGTGCTTAGTTAAATAAATGAATGGGTGCAAGCACATCATTAGCCACGGAGACTCATAAAGCACATGTTTTACATGATGAGCTGAAGATGAAATGAGAAGTATTATGATGTTATCTTAAGTATGAGGGCCTCGTACTAGCAGTACTTAATATCACATGGCACAATATGCCCTGAGGGAGAGTTTGTGTCAAACACAGGGGTAGAAATCCACATTTTAAATTAGCTTTTTGATCATTTCAACTGGCCACCTTCTTTGTCCTGAGGAGATAACCATTGCTTTCCCTCATCATGTGGCAGCTCAAAAACCTGTGTAAAGAGATGAGATGACAACCTGGCCGTGTTCTTTTTCACTTCTGCTGGTGTTACCATTATTAACTTTAACTGTGGTTTATTTGGGGAATTGTCTCAGTCACTTGTTCTTTTTTGTAAAGACTGATTTAATTAAAATAAGATAAAATAATCTCAAAATCAAATTGAACTGGCACTTGGAAAACACAACTCCTCAAAATATGCTAAAAGCAAAAACCAAGCCAAACAAAAAACTGGGTAAGAGTGATTCAGTCTACCCTTTTGCATGATGACTGGGCCTCTTGCCCTTGTAAAGTTTGCAAACCACAGAGCCTTTCTGACAGGACTGAATGAGGAAACCATGCCAGTCCATGGGTTAAACAATTGGTGGCGTTTCATATTTGTTATGTGGTGTAAGTGTCTTCCAAGGAAAGGTCCATTGTGAGTAAAGGCTTGGTTCGGACTATTGGGAGATGGTAGAACCCTTGCAAAGCGGGGCTAAGTGGGAAATCCTTAGGCCACAGGGGCATGAGATGGTTGACTTGCAATCACTTGAATTCTCACAAGATGACTGAAATAGAAAGAGTAAACCTGGCCCTGCTTCCGGTCTCTCCACCTTTCTGCTCCCGACTTGAGACAGGATCACTTGCTGCTACACAAACTCCCACCACTGCTATCCAGCATTCTTCATGAAACCCTCACCAGAACTGATCCAGTATATGTACCATGCCCTTGAACCTCCAAAACTGTGAGCTAAATAAACACTTTCTTTTTATAAAGTTAACAGGATCAGATATTTTGTTGTAGTAGCACAAAGATGACTAATAAC